GCGAGCCACTCCTGGCTCTTCTGTTCTCTCGCCGTAGCTGTGCAGACTTAGAAGTCTGGCGGCGTGGGCATTCTCGTTCCCCTAGCTTTTTTTGACGCAGCTCGGGTTCCTGAAGAGGAACGTCTCGGGTTACGTATGTAACCCTAGTTCCTCGAGGTGCCATCCTTCCGGCGTCCCTGCCAGCGCTTGCTTCACTCCTTGAGCTGACGCTGGTCTCACCGCACGTGCTTTTATAGCCTCCTGGTCATTACATCACCCGCCGTGACGTCTCGCCCAGCTGTTGGTCTGATTACACACGAGATTCAGAGCCCGTCACGCTGAACGGCGTTCCCCCTAGCGTTTTTCGACGCAGCGTCTCGTTCCCTCGAGGAACTAGGGTTACATACGTAACCCGAGACGTTTCTTGTTTACTAGGATGCTAATAGTGCATTACTCGTCTTGTTCAAGGAAAGGAAAGGAAAAAAAGGTAAGGATGTGATGTGTGGCCAAGTATGGTGTACCATACTACTTTTTTTATGTTAATGTTTTAAGAACATTATTAAAAACAAGTTGACTTTGAACAAGCATTCTGTTAATATTACTTAAAGAATGTTTATTTATAACTTTGAGAGAACCTTGCCAGAACATTAGCCAAAGTTCTGAGAACATTCCGTTAGATGATTTTGATTTGATGAAAAAAAAAATCTTTTTTTTTGAGGAGAAACAATAACAATAAACCATTGTCAAGCTACTTTTATGATATTAACAGAACTATTGTATAGCTCCCTGGGAGTTGACCCCATGACCTTGCTGTTGGTAGCGTTGTGCTATACTGTTTGAGCTACAGAAAAGCTGTATTGCATGTACATTATGCATTGAAACTTTTTGAAAAAATTTAATAGATCATCATAAGCATCATGTCATTGATCTTAAAATGCATCCCACTGCTATGAGTGGGGATAAATACATTTGCAGATGACATAATTTGATCGGGTTACTGCAAGCTGCTTTATTAGATCCTCTTTCCACCAACAGATGTGTGTTTGAGCTTTGAAATTTCAGCTCTGATGAGTGTCCAAGCTCTTCAAACGCTGTAGTATGGTTTTGTACATGAAAAGCATCTTGGCTTGAGGAGGTGATTTTGTTTGACTGACACTACCTCATGACTAAATGATTACAAAAGACTGTTATGGTCATATTCCCAAACCAGGGGAGGCCACAACCCTGATGACACAAAGAGCTAAACAGAGCCCAGGCCGATGTTTTAAGGAATTGCTCAGCATGTGCACACCTGGTATCAGTTATGCAGAGCTAGAAAGCAACAGCGGTGCAGTCGTGTTTCATTCCCTGTAGAATTATAATTGGTTCACTGAGGTTCAAGGCTCCTCAGACTATCAGATGGATTCTGGATAGTGAGTTTAGTGTTTCGAGTATAGGTCAGAGACCTCTGGCAAGAAGCTAGAGGATGAAGAATCTTGGCAGTGTAGTGATTTGCCCCTAGCAGCTGTACACGGTGTGTCAAGTTTGCTGTCACCCTCACATCTCTGCTGCCTGATGTGCTGGGACTGGGAGACACCATGAGATGTCACATGGCTCTCAGGCCACGCTCAGGGAGTTTACTGTATGCTGTGACAGGTAGCATGTGCTCTCTGTCACGTTTGCCCCTCTGGAAAGGAGAGACAGACAAGATAAATGTTTGCTTTGAATATCAAGGAGGTCTTTTGTTCGTCTGACATTGCTTTGTTGCTTTTAAACCTATACTGTATTTTACAAGCGCTGAATGGTGTATTAGGTTAAGCATCATGGAAAGAATATACATTAGTTGTGAAAGCAAATATATTCTTCAACTCTGTGAGAAAAGGATTAGTTATGTTATTTTGCATGCTTTATGTTGCATGCATTTACTTTAGCTAATATTCATATACTGTACAGTTGCTGTAATGCCATGATGTTCACTTAGATTGTAGATTTGTTTTTCCCCTTCTTTTTCTTGTCTTATAATGCAACATGAATACCAGAACAGAACAGAACACTGATTTTATACAATAGTTGTTTAATAAACAATAAGTTAAAATTAAGTGACTTACATTTTAGACACAATATTGACTGTTTTTGCTCAATTTCGCACACGAAAATAGTTCCAATCAAAGCCACAGCAGAACTGTTGTGTGTGTTTCGTTAATGAATGAATCCACGAATCGAGTGAGTCAATGATTCAGTAACCCATTCATAAAGACAGTCACTTGCCTCGTTTCTGAATGAATCAGCTGTTTGAACGAATCGGTTGAATGAATGACTAAATGACTCACTCATTAAAACAATAATTTGCCGCCACCTACTGGTGGTTTGGTTTCATATTTAAAAGTATCATTGCATTTTTCCCAACATTTATTATTTGTATGTTCAAAAATGTTTTTTTAAAACATTAATCTTATAAAAATATTTATGCATTTGCAATTTTGTGGTGTAAATGCATTCATGGCACCTTATCTTCATCAAACTCAGCTTCTGTGTTTCCTGCAGTGGAAAGATGGATACTGATGATACTGATTTCATTTGAATGGTAACAACTCTACAGTTTCTTGTCATTCTAACTAAATTAATTGAAACAATGTAAGAATTTAATGTAAGATGACACATTTAATAAGGTTAGGGAAAAAATTACCATTTATAAACGTAGTGGGAAATGACATCTGTTTTGTTATAGAGCAACTCATTTTCAGTTAATTGTTATTTCTAGCTCGTTCCAGTCACAGAGCACTTTAGTTGTTTAAGTGAGAGAACATCTATAACTTAGTCCAGATTGGGAGAATCATAATGTTTAATAATTTATTTTATTATGTAAATAATTTATTTGCTTTATTTTTGTTTGTATATGCTGTCAATTACAGTTCTTAGAAAGAAAATTTGGAATTGGCAAAAATCAGTATCGGCAGCTCACACTTACAAAAAAAATCAAAATCGGCCAAGAAAATTACAATTGGTGCATCTCTCCTTTTAATGGAGTCAGATCATATAAAATTTCAAGTCATTGTTTAATTTGGGTTAGATTTTTTTGCCTTTGTACTTTGCACCCAATTTTAGGTTTGCCAGGGATTGCCTAAAAGGTTAGATATTCTGAAACTGCAATTAGTTTAAATGAATGGTACGTAATGTGGCATTATGTGACCTGTTAGGATGGCAGGAATAAAAAGAATGGATAATGGTGGTAGATTGGAGAGACCATTAACTAGATGATGAAGATAAATGCGAGAGTAAGAGACATCCCGCAGCAGAGGCTTTAAGTTCCTATCCCACACTAGAATGCAATGGAAATAATGAATGTTATTATAGTCCTCTGTGGGGTTTGGGGTCATTGTGAACTTTACTTTTTACTGTTTTCAAACAGAATTACTCTTCCATGATTTAGTAAAGAAGAGCCTTAGTCTAAGTGCGGCTTGGGCTTTAGGTAAATTTTTTTGCTAATATACTGCTGGTTTAGCTTCCATGCTAATCAGGGAAGCAGGAAGCAGTTCTTGGATATATGCAGTCACCTGAATCTTTCTTTTGACCTGGCAGAACAGAGAAAGACAGACATTCTTGTAAAGAAACCCTTAATTTTTTTGACAATTAATTTTTTCCTAGAGATAGAAAAAACACAACTGCTTATTGATATTTGAAAAAACTTGCTCGTAAAGTTAAGTGGTTGTCATGATCCTCATGACTGTAAAGAAAATGCTGTTACTTTTTACTTAACTTATTCAATGACATTTTTAGAGTCATTAAATTGAAACTTTTCTTAAATTGTATAAAATCTTTTCAAAACCACATGAAACATCATGAATACAAAAACCCCGCAACTTTCTGAGGTTGAGGAGATGCTAGCACATGTGCAGAGCAGTGGAAAACACACGATTTCAATCACGTCTCATCTAGATGAACTGTTTAGTCACAACTGGCATCGGCATAATTTGTATTATATAAACCTCTGAATTGCATTGAGGTAGAACTTCAAAGCAACACAACACTTGTTTACCTTAAAGCAGTAATTGGCTAGTTTAGTACAAAGCTTTTGCGTCCTTTAGTTACATTGTTGAGAAGAATTAATTGCCCTTCTGCAGCATGAGTTACACTGTAAAACCTACTGTTTGTCACACCATTGTTGATGCTATTCTCAGCAGAGCAAAGTAGTCTGGATGTAATTGTGTCTACGGTCAGTCATTATCAGAGGAATCAATTTTATGTGGAAGTTTGTCCAATTTTCTGCAGCGCTATCATAACATTGGGCTCGCCGATGTATCTATTGAGGCGATGCTCTCAGTGGTACATCCTGCTTTATCAACGTTTATCATGTCTTCCCCCTCATAAAAGTCAGCTGACTGTCGGATGGCCCGTTCCTTTGGATTTGGTTATGTTAAGAACGAGGTGTAATCTCTCCCTAAATGTCGAGGACGCATCCAGTTAGTGCCACGGGGGCCTTGTAAAAGTGCCTAGCGGGACTTCAAAAGTAATGACCGTCGCTTGCAAAAACAGTCGAAGCCCACACCAAATCACTTCCTTATGTGTCCACCGGAGCACTAATGAAATCTTCGGAAAGAATTGGAAGTTGTCTGCTCCGGATAATCTAATGTGAGAGGGCATTGCGAGACACAATGCATCAAGCTACAGGAGCCCAATATGAATCTGCTCCCAATTTTTTCCTATACCATTATCAGTGGGCAGAGAGGAGCGGGAGTGAATTAATGAGTGGAAGATTTATTTGTTTGCTGTATGGACTGTAAAACAGTAAGAGCAGTGTTGGCCCGTGCAGGTCTCCTACCCCTAGGGTACAATCAAACCCTGGCAGCAAATCAATAGAGCTGGAAGAGGTTTTTATAACCAGAGTTTAACACCATGCTCTAAGTGCTTCAGGTGACGGGTCATTTGTTCATTAGCAGGACTTATC